TGTGCATAGAACTCGAACCATGAAGTAACAGGAACAGGGGAGAACCTGGCTTCCTCTCAATTCTACTAGACTATGCTTACAAACTGTAGTCACCGAAGGAATAAAATGTAATGACTCCTAAATCACTATTTTTTTCCCAAAGAGGTGGAAGTATATTTGCAAAGGGAAAAAACACTAAAGGAAACTTTTAAAAAGGTTTATAAAGGGGGGAAAGAACTAAAGAAATAGGGATTAATCATTCAAGAAAAACTACTAAGTAATAAGATTGAGAACTGCAGTAAATTAGGTAAATATCACACACTTTGCAATCACATTCAAATGTTTTGCTTTGATATTTCATGAAGGATATTCCTCATGAGTTAACTATGATAGGAAATTACCTGTTCGCTGTAATGTCTAACAACGCTCCACATCAGCTGATCTCTGTTGTAAAACTGACAGCGAATTTCATAATAAGCAAGTCTGGAGGAGAAAGAGTCAAAGGAACTAAGATCAGTTTTTGAAAAAAAAAAGAGAGACAAAATTTCAATGATAATCATTGCTAATTCACAATTAGGTTTGTACATCTGTCACATATAATTTACACTTGAGATCTTAAATATTAGGATAACAAAACTATTGTAAAAATAGTGCATTCTCATGCAAGTCTTTCATAAATACATAAAGAGTAAAAAGGTTTACAAAAGTTGACCATAATCCCACCACAAAGTAGATTTTTAAGTTTTTTTCTTCTTCTTATTCTCCACTTTGAATTCTTTCTTTTCTGTGCAATTGAAAACTATTAAAACACTTTGTATGTATTTTTATACTCAACACCGTGGATAAGTATTCCTCTACGTCTTCAAAATTCTATGTTGCCATTTTTAACAGATGCATAGCATTCCATCATGTGGAAGTGTCATGACAAACAATTCTTCCACGGTCAGTCATTTCTAAATTTTGACATAATAATCGAATGTTGCCATGTGTATCCTGAATATAATTTTGGTTGTATTTCAAGATTGATTTTTGGTCTTAGTTCCCCCCAAAATTAATGGATGAAAGACAAGAAAAACATTTAAGGCTCTTGACATAGATCCCCTTTCTACTAACACAAATAGAAAAAAAAAAAAAGCCTGTTTCTTAGCTCCACTTCCTCTAGTACTAGAGTTCTCATATTTTGAAATCTGTGATAATTTGTTTCAATTTACATATATCCTTTGATAAATAATAAAGCTAAACATATCTCATATCTATTTTTGTGAGTAATCTCATACTGTCCCCTGGCAATTATGACACTGGAATTTTTAGGTTAAAAATTAAGACTATCAATCTTTTGTTATACTTGTCATTATATAGTTCTGGTTCTTTGTTTTTAAATTGTTTCCACTGATTTTGTTGTGTCTAATCTTTATGTAGTCAAATCAATTTTGTGTTTTCCATTGGATTTTTTCCATTGCTTTCAAACTTAGAAAGACTTCCTTTATTCAGAGATTTGATAGCAATTAACTTCTCTTTTCCTTGGTCTTTGTCTTTCTATTTGAATTTTATGTTTAAGGCTTCAATTCCTCTGAAATTTGATGTGTCACAGGTGAGGTGAAAATGATATAAATGAATTTTTTTTCTCCAAGGTAACTACTTATCTCTACACCAGTGCTGAATATTCAATTCAATAAACAGTCACTGAATTTATATGTGTCTGACACATAAATATTCTTATATTAGATGGAGCAAGGAGTTTGCCATATGATTATCTGAAATCTCACCCTATTGCTATATATTTCTAAATATAATTCTGTTTAAAACATGGTCAACTTATAATATACAACTGAAAAGTTCAATAATACTCTACATTCATGTATTACCTAGGTATGGGCAACTGAAGAAAATATTAGAGTCTTCACCTTATCTTTATGAGTAAAATAAGTGTACCTAAAGAGCAAATTAGAAAGGCACCCATCTTTTCAAGTATCAGTGGTAAGAATTACCATTTTTCTAAGCTAACATTCTGGCCCAAATGGAGAGAGCGAGTACCCAGAAACACCGCCCTGGCATGGAACCCTCCCACGCCCTGCGGCGTGGCTCTTACTTGAATATGAGGTCGTCCACATCAGTCAGAGTAGCACCGATACTTTTCAACAGCAGATTGACAGAATAAATTGGAATGATTTCCTGTTTTTCTTTGTCTGACTCTCCACCACCAGAGCCCAAAGACAAACTCAAGTGCAACTGAAAGAAAAATGATGCTCAGTAAATGAAAGCTAAAAACAAAACGAAAAATTCACATACACAGAAACCAGATAGTCCAGATACAAACGCTGTATTTTTGAATTTGAGTCCTAAAGAAAGCTATCATTTTTTACACTATACGTTACACAGAATAGCTCACTTAGATCTGATTCTCCTATTTACTTTTTGATGAAATACAAATTAGTCAGTTCCAAAGCTCAAACTATAATTTTATTCAACGTGTATAAAGTATTTATATGGAGGAGCCCAAAACACTTTGTAAAAATAGCATAATCACTTCAAGAAAAAAACATATCAACTGGCTCCCCATAGTCTACTGCTCCAAATAATGGATAATCATTTATCTTCACCCAATAAGAGAAATAACTTATGGTAACAACTAACAATAACAATTATAATTAAACATTAATAACAAGTAACAATAACATGACAATTACGGCAATAGTTAGCCAGTTCTTAAAAGAGTTGGAAAGTTTTCGACTTCCACAGACCCTTCACTCAGCCCTTAAACAGGAGGTTTTACACATTCCCATTTCACTGCTTCCACTTTGTGCTGCATCATCATTAATGCAACAGCGCCAGAGCACACAGGGGGCAGGTAACCCAAACGTGTAAGTAAAGCAGGTGACTGTCCTCCCCATGCTGCCATTCTCTAGGCATTTTCCCTAACCTACAGAGAGCTCAACAGAGGGCATGTGGGAAAGGCCAGGAAAGCCTGGTTGCTGGGTTTTTCTTTGATGTAAAACTTTCATTCATCCGTAGAGTCAGAGTGCTGGGATCCAGGAAAGGAAGCCTTAGTGAAGAGATCTAGCCTTTTCCTAGGGTGAAGTCATCATGGAATAAGAAAACGATTGTGGTTCATGATCTTAACTATTTAAATTCAAGGCACAATTCCTAGTGTGCCTAAAATTACGCATAGGTAAATAATTCGTCTTTAACACCTCTTTGATTATGAACTCCATGAAGTCATTTTATACCTACCACAGCAACGTTGATAGCAGGCATTCAGTAAATATTTGTTGAAGATATTCTTCAATCTCAAATAACTGATTTTCACTTAATAATGAAAAAGAAACTGTGTACACCACATAAAACACTTTTAAGTATCACTTTTAAACTTAACACTATGGGTGTGTCTGATACTAAACTAACGTATCAATATAAAATAATAATTGCATTTTATAAATCCATTCATTTAGCTGAACGGATTGGTGAATGCAATTGAAAATAATGTGCTGTAAAGTTTTTGAGAATGTAAAGGATCATCAATATTTTAAAGTTACTTAATTGTAAATCTGGCCCATTACACAAGTTTATGGTTGACAGCATTTGTGAATTCACTAAGCAGTCACCTTTCCCTATAAAAGCTAAAAAGAACAACAAAAGGAGATAAGGAAATGGGTTCATAAAGTACAAAATCAGGCAAGTGAAAGGTATCCAATTTTCCACTCCTTTAGTTACAAGCAAATTTTGGAAGGGTGAAAAACACCACATCCACAGTATAACACCTACTTCAGCGTTTTCACATTGTGGTTAGGGCACCCATTATAGCCTTCTATTCAGACAGTCAGAGTAGTTACAAAGTGCAACCAAAACATTACACGTTGGGGAGCTCTTCTTCGCTTCATTAAGAAATGCTTTTGTCAGCTTCTTCCTTGAATAAAGGGGTTATTAATTCAAGACTAGAGATCACGCTCGGGTGACTTCTCTGCGGGAATCATGGTTGTACATGTTACAGAGAATGGTCTTAATTCAATTAATCAAACAAAATTCCCACCAAATATTTGATGCAACAAATTAAAACCCACGTTTGTACACAGACTATTTAAAAGTTCTACAATAAGTCTGTCAAATTTTCAAAATAATAATTATAACAAACCTTAATAGGAGAAATATGGAAAAGTTCGAAGAAACTAAGAACGGATGTATCAGTCACCGAGGGCTCCACTAATTCTGTGTTTAGAGCAGCAGAATCTTCCTGAATTAACTCTGTCTGAAAAAAAATTAATCAAGATTTTCTATTTTAAGTTTTTTCCTACCATAATTAGTGCAAAGAATGATTTAAGTTTTTAAATAATTTTCCCAAGAAATAAAAATTATTACCCGTCTTCTTTTGGCTTCAGGGTCAGTTGTTGGAGTAAACAGTGCAGTAATAGCTCCTAAAAACCCCTGATCAACTTTTAAGGCCATTTCCTGAATGAGGACCATAAAATACCTAAGGGAAAAAATTTTTTTAAGTGGAAAAGGATTTTTTAAAGATGGAAAAGGC